TGCAAGAACAAGGGCCTAGCGTGTGCAAAATAAAAAGAACAAGGGCCTAGCGTGTGCAAAATAGCAAGAACAAGGGCCTAGCGTGTGCAAAATGAAAAAAACAAGGGCCTAGCGTGTGCAAAATAAAAAGAACAAGGGCCTAGTATGTGCAAAATTGCAAGAACAAGGGCCTAGCGTGTGCAAAATTGCAAGAAAAAGGGCCTAGAGTGTGCACAATTGCAAGAACAAGGGCCTAGCGAGTGCAAAATAGCAAGAACAAGGGCCTAGCGAGTACAAAATAGCAAGAGCGAGGGCCTAGCGTGGGCTAAATTGCATGAACAAGGGCCTAGCGTTCGCAAAATAGCAAGAACAAGGGCCTAGTGTATGCAAAATAAAAAGAACAAGGGTCTAGCGTGTGCAAAATTGCAAGAACATGGGCCTTGCGTGTGCAAAATAAAAATAACTAGGGCATAGCGTGTGCAAAATAGCAAGAACAAGGGCATAGTGTGTGCAAAATATAAAGAACAAGGGCCTAGCGTGTGCAAAATTGCAAGAACAAGGGCCTAGCATGTGCATAATTGCAAGAACAAGGGCCTAGCGAGTGCAAAATAGCAAGAGCAAGGGCCTAGCGTGTGCAAAAAATCAAGAACAAGGGCCTAGCATTCGCGAAATAGCAAGAACAAATGCCTAGCTTGTGCAAAATAAGAAGAACAAGGGTCTAGCATGTGCAAAATTGCAAGAACAAGGGCCTAGGGTGTGCAAAATAAAAAGAACAAAGGCATAGCGTGTGCAAAATAGCAAGAACAAGGGCCTAGCGTGTGCAAAATAAAAAGAACAAGGGCCTAGCGTGTGCAAAATTGCAAGAACAAGGGCCTAGCATGTGCAAAATTGCAAGAACAAGGGCCTAGCGAGCGCAAAGTAGCAATAGCAAGGGCTAGCGTGTGCAAAAAATCAAGAACAAGGGCCTAGCGTGTGCAAAATAAAAAGAACAAGGGTCTAGCATGTGAGAAATTGCAAGAACAAGGGCCTAGTGTGTGCAAAATAAAAAGAACAAGGGCATAGCGTGTGCAAAATAGCAAGAACAAGGGCCTAGCGTGTGCAAAATAAAAAGAAGATGGGCCTAGCGTGTGCAAAATTGCAAAAACAAGGGCCTAGCGTGTGCAAAATTGCAAGAACAAGGGCCTAGCGTGTGCAAAATTGCAAGAACAAGGGCCTAGCGAGTGTAAAATAGCAAGAGCAAAGGCCTAGCGTGTGCAAAAAATCAAGAACAAGAGCCTAGCGTTCGCAAAATAGCAAGAACAAGGGCCTAGCGTGTGCAAAATAAAAAGAACAAGGGCCTAGCGTGTGCAAAATAAAAAGAACAACAACCTAGCGTGTGCAAAATTGCAAGAACAAGGGCCTAGTGTGTGCAAAATAGCAAGAACAAGGGCCTAGCGTGTGCAAAATAAAAAGAACAAGGGTCTAGCATGTGCAAAATTGCAAGAACAAGGGCCAAGCGTGTGCAAAATAAATAGAACAAGGGCATAGCGTGTGCAAAATAGCAAGAATAAGGGCCTAGCGTGTGCAAAATATAAAGAACAAGGGCCTAGCGTGTGCAAAATAAAAAGAACAAGGGCCTAGCGTGTGAAAAAATTGCAATAACAAGGGCCTAGCGCGTGCAAAATTGCACGAACAAGGGCCTAGCAAGTGCAAAATAGCAAGAGCAAGGGCCTAGCGTGTGCAAAATAAAAAGAACAAGGGTCTAGCATGTGCAAAATTGCAAGAACAAGGGCCAAGCGTGTGCAAAATAAATAGAACAAGGGCATAGCGTGTGCAAAATAGCAAGAATAAGGGCCTAGCGTGTGCAAAATATAAAGAACAAGGGCCTAGCGTGTGCAAAATAAAAAGAACAAGGGCCTAGCGTGTGAAAAAATTGCAATAACAAGGGCCTAGCAAGTGCAAAATAGCAAGAGCAAGGGCCTAGCGTGTGCAAAAAATCAAGAACAAGGACCTAGCGTTCGCGAAATAGCAAGAACAAGGGCCTACCATGTGCAAAAAAAAAAAAAGAACAAGGGTCTAGCATGTGCAAAATTGCAAGAACAAGGGCATAGCGTGTGCAAAATAGCAAGAACAAGGGCCTAGCATGTGCAAAATAAAAAGAACAAGGGCCTAGCGTGTGCAAAATAAAAAAAACAAGGGCCTAGCGTGTGCAAAATAGCAAGAACAAGGGCCTAGCGTGTGCAAATTTGCAAGAACAAGGGCCTAGCGAGTGCAAAATAGCAAGAGCAAGGGCCTAGCATGTGCAAAAAACCAAGAACAAGGGCCTAGCATTCACGAAATTGCAAGAACAAGGGCCAAGCGTGTGCAAAATAAAAAGAACAAGGGTCTAGCATGTGCAAAATTGCAAGAACAAGGGCCTAGCGTGTGCAAAATAAAAAGAACAAGGGCATAGCGTGTGCAAAATAGCAAGAACAAGGGCCTAGCGTGTGCAAAATAAAAAGAACAAGGGCCTAGCGTGTGCAAAATTGCAAGAACAAGGGCCTAGCATGTGCAAAATTGCAAGAACAAGGGCCTAGCGAGCGCAAAGTAGCAAGAGCAAGGGCTAGCGTGTGCAAAAAATCAAGAACAAGGGCCTAGCGTTCGCGAAATAGCAAGATCAAGGGCCTAGCGTCTGCAAAATAAAAAGAACAAGGGTCTAGCATGTGAAAAATTGCAAGAACAAGGGCCTAGCGTGTGCAAAATAAAAAGAACAAGGGCCAAGTCCTCCACGTCCACGTCCACGTCCATGTCCACGTCCACGTCCAAGTCCATGTCCACGTCCACGTCCACGTCGAAGTCCACGTCCACGTCCACGTCCACGTCCACGACCACGTCCACGTCCAAGTCCACGTCCACGTCCACGACAATGTGCACGTCTACGTCCACGTCCACGTCCAGGTCCACGTCCACGTCCATGTCCACGTCCACGTTCACGTCCATGTCCACGTCCACGTCCACGTCCACGTCCATGTCCACGTCCACGTCCACGTCCACGTCCACGTCCACGTCCACTTCCACGTCCACGTCCACGTCCACGTCCACGTCCGTCCACGTCCATGTCCACGTCCACGTCCACGTCCCTGTCCACGTCTACGTCCACGTCCACGTCCACGTCCACGTCCATGTCCACGTCCACGTCCACGTCCACGTCCACGTCCACATCCACGTCCATGTCGACGTCCACGTCCAGGTCCACGTCTCTGTCCACGTCCACGTCCAGGTCCACGTCCACGTCCACGACCACTTCGTCAACGTCCACGTCCACGACCAAGTCCACGTCCACGTCGAGGTCCACGTCCAAGACAATGTCCACGTCCACGACAATGTCCACATCCACGTCCACGTCCACGTCCATGTCCACGTCCATGTCCACGTCCACGTCCATGTCTAGGTCCTCGTCCATGTCCACGTCCATGTCCACGTCCACGTCCACGTCCATGTCCACGTCCACGTCCAGGTCCACGTCCACGTCCATGTCCACGTCCACGTCCACGTCCAGATCCACGTCCACATCCTCGTCCACGTCCACGTCCACGTCGACGTCCACGTCCACGTCCACGTCCACGTCCATGTCCACGTCCACGTCCACGTCAACGTCCATGTCCATGTCCACGTCCACGTCCAGGTCCACGTCCACGTCGACGTCCATGTTGACGTCCACGTCCACGTCCACGTCCCTGTCCACGTCCACGTCCACGTCCATGTCCACGTCCATGTCCACGTCCACATCCACGTCCACGTCCACGTCCATGTCCACGTCCACGTCCACGTCCACGTCCACGTCCACGTCCATGTCCAAGTCCTCCACGTCCACGTCCACGTCCATGTCCACGTCCACGTCCACGTCCACGTTCACGTCCATGTCCCCACATCCACGTCCACGTCCATGTCCACGTCCATGTCCACGTCCATGTCCATGTCCACGTTCACGTCCATGTCCACGTCCACGTCCACGTCCATGTCCACGTCCATGTCCCCACGTCCACGTCCACGTCCACGTCCCCACGTCCACGTCCACGTCCACGTCCACGTCCATGTCCACGTCCACGTCCATGTCCACGTTCACGTCCATGTCCACGTTCACGTCCATGTCCACGTCCACGTCCATGTCCACATCCACGTCCACGTCCACGTCCATCTCCACGTCCACGAACATGTCCACGTCCACATCCACGTCCACGTCCACGTCCATCTCCACGTCCACGTCCACGTCCACGTCCACGTCCAGGTACACGTCCAGGTCCACGTCGTCCACGTCCACGTCCACAACCACGTCCACGACCACGTCCACGTCCATGTCCACGTCCACGACAATGTCCACGTCCACATTCACGTCCACGTCCATGTCCACGTCCACGTCCACGTCCACGTCCATGTCCACGTCCATATCCACGTCCACATCCACGTCCATGTCCACGTCCACGTCCACCTCCATGTCCACGTCCACGTCCACGTCCAGGTCCACGTCCACGTCCATGTCCACGTCCACGTCCACGTCCACGTCCACGTCCACGTCCACCTCCATGTCCACGTCCACGTCCACCTCCATGTCCACGTCCGCGTCCACGTCCACATCCATGTCCACGTCCACGTCCACGTCCATGTCCACGTCCGCGTCCACGTCCACGTCCACGTCCATGTCCACGTCGACGTCCACGTCCACGTCCACGTCCACGTCCAGTCCACGTTGAAGTCCTCCACGTCCACGTCCACGTCCATGTCCACGTCCACGTCCACGACCACGTCCACGTCCACGTCCACGTCCACGTCCACGTCCATGTCCACGTCCACGTCCACGTCCAGGTCAACGTCCACATCCACCTCCACGTCCACGTCCATGTCGACGTCCACGTCCACGTCCACGTCCCTGTCCACGTCCACGTCTATGTCCACGTCCATGTCCACGTCCATGTCCACGTCCATATCCACGTCCACGTCCACGTCCACGTCCATGTCCACGTCCACGTCCACGTCCACGTCCATGTCCACGTCCACGTCCACGTTTAGTCCACGTCCACGTCCATGTCCACGTCCAAGTCCTCCACGTCCACGTCCACGTCCAGGTCCAAGTCCACGTCCACGTCCACGTCCATGTCCACGTCCACGTCCACGTTTAGTCCACGTCCACGTCCATGTCCACGTTCAAGTCCTCCATGTCCACGTCCATGTCCACGTCGACGTCGACATCCACGTCCACGTCCACGTCCAGTCCATGTCCACGTCCACGTCCACGTCCATGTCCATGTCCACGTCCACGTCCACGTCCAAGACCACGTCCAGGTCCACGTCCACGTCCACGTCCACGTCCACGACCACGTCCACGTCCACGTCCACGTCCACGTCCACGACCACGTCCACGTCCACGACCGCGTCCACGACCACGTCCACGTCCACGTCCACGACCACGTCCACGTCCACGTCCGCGTCCACGTCCACGTCCACGTCCACGTCGACGTCCACGACCACGTCCAGTCCACGTCCACGTCCACGTCCACGTCCACGACCACGTCCACGTCCACAGCCATGTCCGCATCCACGTCCACGTCCATGTCCACGTCCACGTCCATGTCCACGTCCAAGTCCTCCACGTCCATGTCCACGTCCACGTCCACGTCCACGTCCACGTCCATCTCCACGTCCATGTCCACGTCCACGTCCACGTCCACGTCCATGTCCATGTCCACGTCCACGTCCACGTCCACGTCTACGTCTACGTCCATGTTCACGTCCATGTCCTCCACGTCCACGTCCACGTCCATGTCCACGTCCACGTCCACGTCCATGTCCACGTCCACGTCCACGTCCACGTCTACGTCCACGTCCACGTCCACGTCCACATCCACGTCCACGTCCACGTCCACCTCCATGTCCACGTCCACGTCCACGTCCACGTCCACGTCCATGTCCACGTCCAAGTCCTCCACCTCCACGTCCACGTCCATGTCCACGTCCACGTCCACGTCCACGTCCACGTCCACGTCCACGTCCACGTCCACGTCCACGTCCACGTCCACGTCTAGTCCACGTTCAAGTCCTCCACGTCCACGTCCACGTCCACGTCCATGTCCACGTCCACGACCACGTCTACGTCCACGTCCACGTCCACGTCCACGTCCACATCCACGACCACGTCCACGTCCACGTCCACGTCCACGTCCATGTCCACGTCCACGTCCACGTCCACGTTAATGTCCACGTCCATGTCCATGTCCACGTCCACGTCCACGTCCACGTCCATGTCCACGTCCACGTCCACGTCCATGTCCACGTCCACGTCCACGTCCACGTCAACGTCCATGTCCACGTCGACGTCCACATCCACGTCCACGTCCACGTCCACGACCACGTCCACGTCCACGTCCACGACAATGTCCACGTCCACGTCCACGTCCACGACCATGTCCATGTCCACGTCCACGACCACGTCCACGTCCACGTCCACGTCCACGTCCATGTCCATGTCCACGTCCACGTCCACGTCCACGTCCACCTCCACATCCACGTCCATGTCCACGTCCACGTCCACGTCCCTGTCCACGTCCACGTCCATGTCCACGTCCATGTCCACGTCCACGTCCACGTCCACGTCCACGTCCAGGTCCACGTCCACGTCTACGTCCACGTCCACGACCACGTCCAGGTCCACGTCCACGTCTACGTCCACGTCCACGACCACGTCCATGTCCACGTCCACGTACACGTCCACATCCAAGTCCTCCACGTCCACGACTACGTCCATGTCCACGTCCACGTCAACGTCCACGTCTTCCACGTCCACGTCCACGTCCACGTCCACCTCCATGTCCACGTCCACGTCCACGTCCACGCCCATGTCCACGTCCACGTCCAAGTCCACGTCCACATCCACGTCTACGTCCACGTCCACGTCTAGGACCATGTCCACGTCCACGTCCATGTCCACGTCCACGTCCACGTCCACGTCCACGTTCACGACCATGTCCACGTCCACGTCCACGTCCACGACCATGTCCACGTCCACGTCCTCGACCACGTCCACGTCCACGTCCATGTCCACGTCCACGTCCACGTCCACCTCCACCTCCACGTCCACGTCCACGACCACGTCCATGTCCACATCCATGACCACGTCCATGACCACGTCCACGACCACGTCCACGTCCATGTCCACGTCCACGTCCACGTCCACGTCCACGTCCACGTCCATGTCCACGACCACGACCATGACCACGTCCACTTCCACGTCCACGTCCACGACCATGACCACGTCCACGTCCACGTCCACGTCCACGTCCATGTCCACGTCCACGACCACGTCCACGTCCACGTCCACGTCCACGTCCATGTCCACGACCACGACCATGACCACGTCCACTTCCACGTCCACGTCCACGACCATGACCACGTCCACGTCCACGTCCACGTCCACGACCATGTCCACGTCCACGTCCACGTCCACGTCCACGACCATGTCCACGTCCATGTCCACGTCCACGTCCACGTCCAGGTCCACGTCCACGACCATGTTCACGTCCACGTCCACGTCCACGTCCATGTCCACGACCACGTCCATGTCCACGTCCACGTCCACGTCCACGTCCACGTCCATGTCCACGTCCACGTCCACGTCCACGTCCACTTCCACGTCCATGTCCACGTCCACGTCCACGTCCACGTCCATGTCCACGTCCACGTCCACGTCCACTTCCACGTCCACGTCCATGTCCACGTCCACGTCCACGTCCACGTCCACGTCGACGTCCACGTCCACGTCCACGTCCACGTCCACGTCCATGTCCACGTCCACGTCCACGTCCACGTCCACGTCCACGTCCACGTCCATGTCCATGTCCACGTCCACGTCCACGTCCATGTCCACGTCCACGTCCACGTCCACGTCTACGTCCACGTTGTCCACGTCCACGTCCACATCCACGTCCACGTCCACGTCCATGTCCACGTCCACGTCCACGTCCACGTCCACGTCCATGTCCACGTCCAAGTCCTCCACCTCCACGTCCACGTCCATGTCCACGTCCACGTCCACGTCCACATCCACGTCCATGTCCACGTCGACGTCCACGTCCACGTCCACGTCCAGCCCACGTTCAAGTCCTCCACGTCCACGTCCACGTCCACGTCCAAATCCACGTCCACGACCACGTCCACGTCCACGTCCACGTCCACGTACACGTCCACGTCCACGTCCACGACCACGTCCACGTCCACGTCCACGTCCACGTCCACGTCCACGTCCACGTCCATGTCCACGTCCACGTCCACGTCCACGTCCACGTCCACGTCCATGTCCACGTCGACGTCCACGTCCACGTCCACGTCCACGACCACGTCCACGTCCACGTCCACGTCGACGTCCACGACGACGTCCACGTCCACGTCCACGACCATGTCCACGTCCACGTCCACGTCCACGTCCACGTCCATGTCTATGTCCACGTCCACGTCCACGTCCACGTCCACGTCCACCTCCACGTCCACGTCCATGTCGACGTCCACGTCCACGTCCTCGTCCCTGTCCACGTCCACGTCCATGTCCACGTCCATGTCCACGTCCATATCCACGTCCACGTCCACGTCCACGTCCATGTCCACGTCCACGTCCACGTCCACGTCGAGGTCCACGTCCACGTCTACGTCCACGTCCACGACCACGTCCATGTCCACGTCCACGTCCACGTCCACATCCAAGTCCTCCACGTCCACGACCACGTCCATGTCCACGTCCACAACAACGTCCACGTCCACCTCAACGTCCACGTCCACGTCCACGTCCACGTCCACGACCACGTCCACGTCCACGTCCACGTCAGCGTCCACGTCCACGTCCATGTCCACGTCCACGTCCATGTCCACGTCCAAGTCCTCCACGTCCACGTCCATGTCCACGTCCACGTCCACGTCCACGTCCACGTCCATCTCCACGTCCATGTCCACGTCCACGTCCACGTCCACGTCCATGTCCATGTCCATGTCCACGTCCACGTCCACGTCTACGTCCACGTCCATGTCCACGTCCATGTCCTCCACGTCCACGTCCACGTCCATGTCCACGTCCACGTCCACGACCACGTCCATGTCCACGTCCACGTCCACGTCCACCTCCATGTCCACGTCCACGTCCACGTCCACGACCATGTCCACGTCCACGTCCACGTCCACGTCCACGTCCACATCCACGTCTACGTCCACATCCACGTCTAGGACCATGTCCACGTCCACGTCCATGTCCATGTCCACGTCCACGTCCACGTTCACGACCATGTCCACGTCCATGTCCACGTCCACGACCATGTCCACGTCCACGTCCTCGTCCATGTCCACGTCCACGTCCATGTCCACGTCCACGTCCACGTCCACCTCCACCTCCACGTCCACGTCCACGACCACGTCCATGTCCACATCCATGACCACGTCCATGACCACGTCCACGACCACGTCCACGTCCATGTCCACGTCCACGTCCACGTCCACGTCCACGTCCACGTCCATGTCCACGACCACGACCATGACCACGTCCACTTCCACGTCCACGTCCACGACCATGACCACGTCCACGTCCACGTCCACGTCCACGTCCATGTCCACGTCCACGTCCACGTCCACGTCCACGACCATGTCCACGTCCATGTCCACGTCCACGTCCAGGTCCACGTCCACGACCATGTCCACGTCCACGTCCACGTCCACGTCTATGTCCACGACCACGTCCATGTCCACGTCCACGTCCACGTCCATGTCCACGTCGACGTCGACGTCCACGTCCACTTCCACGTCCATGTCTACGTCCACGTCCACGTCCACGTCCACGTCCATGTCCACGTCCACGTCCACTACCACGTCCACGTCCACGTCCATGTCCATGTCCACGTCCACGTCCACGTCCACGTCGACGTCCACGTCCATGTCCACGTCCACGTCCACGTCCACGTCCATCTCCAGGTCCACGTCCACGTCCACGTTCAAGTCCTCCACGTCCACGTCCACGTCCACGTCGACGTCCACGTCAACTTCCACGTCCACGTCCAGTCCACGTCCACGTCCACGTCCACGTCCACGTCCACAACCTCGTCCATGTCCACGTCCACGTCCACGTCCACGACCACGTCCACGTCCACGTCCACGACCACGTCCACGTCCACGTCCACGTCCATGACCACGTCCAGTCCACGTCCACGTCCGCGTCCACGTCCACGACCACGTCCACGTCCACGTCCACGTCAGCGTCCACGTCCACGTCCATGTCCACGTCCACGTCCACGTCCACGTCCAAGTCCTCCACGTCCACGTCCATGTCCACGTCCACGTCCATGTCCACGTCCAAGTCCTCCACGCCCATTTCCACGTCCACGTCCACGTCCACGTCCACGTCCACGTCCATCTCCACGTCCATGTCCACGTCCACGTCCACGTCCACGTCCATGTCCATGTCCACGTCCACGTCCACGTCTACGTCCACGTCCATGTCCACGTCCATGTCCTCCACGTCCACGTCCACGTCCATGTCCACGTCCACGTCCACGTCCACGTCCATTTCCACGTCCACGTCCACGTCCACGTCTACGTCCACGTCCACGTCCACGTCCACCTCCACGTCCACGTCCACGTCCACGTCCATGTCCACGTCCACGTCCATGTCCACGTCCATGTCCACGTCCAAGTCCTCCACCTCCACGTCCACGTCCATGTCTACGTCCACGTCCACGTCCATGTCCACGTCCACGTCCATGTCCACGTCGACGTCGACGTCCACGTCCACGTCCACGTCCACGTCCACGACCACATCCACGTCCACGACCACATCCACGTCCACGTCCACGTCCATGTCCACGTCCACGTCCACGTCCACGACCACGTCCACGTCCACGTCCACGTCTATGTCCACGTCCACGTCCACGTCCACGTCCATCTCCACGTCCACGTCGACGTCCACGTCCATGTCCACGTCAATGTCCATGTCCACGTCCACGTCCACGTTCACGTCCATGTCCACGTCCACGTCCACGTCCATGTCCACGTCCACGTCCACGTCCACGTCCATGTCCACGTCCACGTCCACGTCCACGTCCACGTCTACGTCCACGACCACGTCCACGTCCACGTCCACGTCGACGTCCACGACAATGTCCACGTCCACGTCCACCTCCACGACCATGTCCACGTCGACGTCCACGACCACGTCCACGTCCACGTCCACGACCACGTCCACGTCCACGTCCACGTCGACGTCCACGACAATGTCCACGTCCACGTCCACGTCCACGACCATGTCCACGTCGACGTCCACGACCACGTCCACGTCCACGTCCACGTCCATGTCCACGTCCACCTCCACGTCCACGTCCACGTCCACCTCCACGTCCACGTCCATGTCGACGTTCACGTCCACGTCCACGTCCCTGTCGACGTCCACGTCCATTTCCACGTCCACATCGATGTCCACGTCCATGTCCACGTCCATATCCACGTCCACGTCCACGTCCACGTCCACGTCCACGTCCACGTCCATGTCCACGTCCACGACCACGTCCACATCCAAGTCCTCCACGTCCACGACCACGTCCATGTCCACGTCCACGTCCACGTCCACGTCCACGACCATGTCCACGTCCACGTCCACGTCCACATCCACGTCTATGTCCACATCCACGTCTAGGACCATGTCCACGTCCACGTCCATGTCCACGTCCACGTCCACGTCCACGTTCACGACCATGTCCACGTCCACGTCCACGTCCACGACCATGTCCACGTCCACGTCCTCGTCCACGTCCACGTCCACGTCCACGACCATGTCCACGTCCACGTCCTCGTCACGTCCACGTCCATGTCCACGTCCACGTCCACGTCCACCTCCACCTCCACGTCCACGTCCACGACCACGTCCATGTCCACATCCATGACCACGTCCATGTCCACATCCATGACCACTTCCATGACCACGTCCACGTCCACGTCCACGTCCACGTCCACGTCCATGTCCACGTCCACGTCCACGTCCACGTCCATGTCCACGACCACGACCACGTCCACTTCCACGTCCACTTCCACGTCCACGTCCACTTCCACGTCCCTTGTTCTTTTTATGTTGCACACACTAGGCCCTTGTTCCTGAAAGTTTGCACACGCTAGGCCCTTGTTCTTGGAATTTTGCACACGCTAGGCCCTTGTTCTTGCAATTTTGCACACGCTAGGCCTTTTGTTCTTGCTATTTTGCACACGCTAGACCGTTCTTCTTGCTATTTTGCACACGCTAGACCCTTGTTCTTGCAATTTTGCACATGCTAGGCCCTTGTTCTTTCAATTTCGCACATGCTAGGCCCTTGTTCTTGCAATTTTGCACACGCTAGGCCCTTGTTCTTGCAATTTTGCATTCGCTAGGCCCTTGTTCTTGCTATTTTGCACACGCTAGGCCCTTGTTCTTGCAATTTTGCACACGCTAGCCCCTTTTTCTTGCAATTTTGAAAACACTAGGCCCTTGTTCCTGAAAGTTTGCACACGCTAGGCCCTTGTTCTTGCTATTTTGCACACGCTAGCCCCTTTTTCTTGCTATTTTGCACACGCTAGACCCTTGTTCTTGCTATTTTGCATTCGCTAGGCCCTTGTTCTTGCTATTTTGCACACGCTAGGCCCTTGTTCTTGCGATTTTGCACACGCTAGGCCCTTGTTCTTGCAATTTTGCACACGCTAGCCCCTCTTTCTTGCAATTTTGAAAACACTAGGCCCTTGTTCCTGAAAGTTTGCACACGCTAGGCCCTTGTTCTTGCTATTTTGCACACGCTAGCCCCTTTTTCTTGCTATTTTGCACACGCTAGACCCTTGTTCTTGCAATTTTGCACACGCTTTGTCCTTGTTCTTGCTATTTTGCACACACTAGACCCTTGTTCTTGCAATTTGGCACACGCTAGGCCCTTGTTCTTGCTATTTTGCATTCGCTAGGCCCTTGTTCTTGCTATTTTGCACACGCTAGGCCCTTGTTCTTGCAATTTTGCACACGCTAGGCCCTTGTTCTTGCAATTTTGCACACGCTAGCCCCTTTTTGTTGCAATTTTGAAAACTCTAGGCCCTTGTTCTTGCAATTTGGCACACGCTAGGCCCTTGTTCTTGCTATTTTGCATTCGCTAGGCCCTTGTTCTTGCTATTTTGCACACGCTAGGCCCTTGTTCTTGCAATTTTGCACACGCTAGGCCCTTGTTCTTGCAATTTTGCACACGCTAGGCCCTTGTTCTTGCAATTTTGCACACGCTAGGCCCTTGTTCTTGCTATTTTGCACACGCGAGACCATCGTTCTTGCAATTTTGCACACGCAATGCCCTCGTTCTTGCAATTTTGCACACGCTAGGCCCTTGTTCTTGCAATTTCGCACACGCTAGGCTCTTGTTCTTGCAATTTTGCACATGCTAGGCCCTTGTTCTTGCAATTTTGCACACGCTAGGCCCTTGTCCTTGCAATTTTGCACACGCTAGGCCCTTGTTCTTGCAATTTTGCACACGCTAGGCCCTTGTTCTTGCTATTTTGTACACGCTAGACCCTTATTCTTGCTATTTTGCACACGCTAGACCCTTGTTCTTGCAATTTTGCACACATTAGGCCCTTGTTCTTCCAATTTTGCACACGCTAGGCCCTTGTTCTTGCAATTTTGCACACACTAGGCCCTTGTTGTTGCTATTTTGCACACGCTAGACCCTTATTCTTGCAATTTTGCACACGCTAGGCCCTTGTTCTTTCAATTTTGCACACGCTAGGCCCTTGTTCTTGCTATTTTGCACACGCTAGACCCTCGTTCTTGCAATTTTGCACACGCTATGCCCTTGTTCTTGCTATTTTGCACACGCTAGACCCTTGTTTTTGCAATTTTGCACACGCTAGTCCCTTTTTCTTGCTATTTTGCACACGCTAGCCCCTTTTTCTTGCAATTTTGCACACGCTATGTCCTTGTTCTTGCTATTTTGCACACACTAGACCCTTGTTCTTGCAATTTGGCACACGCTAGGCCCTTGTTCTTGCTATTTTGCATTCGCTAGGCCCTTGTTCTTGCTATTTTGCACACGCTAGGCCCTTGTTCTTGCAATTTTGCACACGCTAGGCCCTTGTTCTTGCAATTTTGCACACACTAGGCCCTTGTTCCTGAAAGTTTGCACACGCTAGGCCCTTGTTCTTGCAATTTTGCACACGCTAGGCCCTTGTTCTTGCAATTTTGCACACGCTAGGCCCTTGTTCTTGCTATTTTGCACACGCTAGACCGTTGTTCTTGCTATTTTGCACACGCTAGACCCTTGTTCTTGCAATTTTGCACATGCTAGGCCCTTGTTCTTTTAATTTCGCACACGCTAGGCCCTTGTTCTTGCAATTTTGCACACGCTAGGCCCTTGTTCTTGCAATTTTGCATTCGCTAGGCCCTTGTTCTTGCTATTTTGCACACGCTGGGCCCTTGTTCTTGCAATTTTGCACACGCTAGGCCCTTGTTCTTGCAATTTTGCACACGCTAGCCCCTTTTTCTTGCAATTTTGAAAACACTAGGCCCTTGTTCCTGAAAGTTTGCACACGCTAGGCCCTTGTTCTTGCTATTTTGCACACGCTAGCCCCCTTTTCTTGCTATTTTGCACACGCTAGACCCTTGTTCTTGCTATTTTGCATTCGCTAGGCCCTTGTTCTTGCTATTTTGCACACGCTAGGCTCTTGTTTTTTGCAATTTTGCACACGCTAGGCCCTTGTTCTTGCAATTTTGCATACGCTAGCCCCTTTTTCTTGCAATTTTGAAAACACTAGGCCCTTGTTCCTGAAAGTTTGCACACGCTAGGCCCTTGTTCTTGCTATTTTGCACACGCTAGCCCCTTTTTCTTGCTATTTTTCACAGGCTAGACCCTTGTTCTTGCAATTTTGCACACGTTATGTCCTTGTTCTTGCTATTTTGCACACACTAGACCCTTGTTCTTGCAATTTGGCACACGCTAGGCCCTTGTTCTTGCTATTTTGCATTCGCTAGGCCCTTGTTCTTGCTATTTTGCACACGCTAGGCCCTTGTTCTTGCAATTTTGCACACGCTAGGGCCTTGTTATTGCAATTTTGCACACGCTAGCCCCTTTTTCTTGCAATTTTGAAAACACTAGGCCCTTGTTCTTGCAATTTGGCACACGCTAGGCCCTTGTTCTTGCTATTTTGCATTCCCTTGGCCCTTGTTCTTGCTATTTTGCACACGCTAGGCCCTTGTTCTTGCAATTTTGCACACGCAAGGCCCTTGTTCTTGCAATTTTGCACACGCTAGCCCCTTTTTCTTGCTATTTTGCACACGCTAGCCCCTTTTTCTTGCTATTTTGCACACGCTAGACCCTTGTTCTTGCTATTTTGCATTCGCTAGGCCCTTGTTCTTGCTATTTTGCACACGCTAGGCCCTTGTTCTTGCAATTTTGCACACGCTAGGCCCTTGTTCTTGCAATTTTGCACACGCTAGCCCCTTTTTCTTGCAATTTTGAAAACACTAGGCCCTTGTTCCTGAAAGTTTGCACACGCTAGGCCCTTGTTCTTGCTATTTTGCACACGCTAGCCCCTTTTTCTTGCTATTTTGCACACGCTAGACCCTTGTTCTTGCAATTTTGCACACGCTATGTCCTTGTTCTTGCTATTTTGCACACACTAGACCCTTGTTCTTGCAATTTGGCACACGCTAGGCCCTTGTTCTTGCTATTTTGCATTCGCTAGGCCCTTGTTCTTGCTATTTTGCACACGCTAGGCCCTTGTTCTTGCAATTTTGCACACGCTAGGCCCTTGTTCTTGAAATTTTGCACACGCTAGCCCCTTTTTCTTTCAATTTTGAAAACACTAGGCCCTTGTTCTTGCAATTTGGCACACGCTAGGCCCTTGTTCTTGCAATTTTGCATTCCCTAGGCCCTTGTTCTTGCTATTTTGCATACGCTAGGCCCTTGTTCTTGCAATTGTGCACACGCTAGGCCCTTGTTCTTGCAATTTTGAACACGCTAGCCCCTTTTTCTTGCAATTTTGAAAACACTAGGCCCTTGTTCCTGAACGTTTGCACACGCTAGGCCCTTGTTCTTGCAATTTTGCACACGCTAGGCCCTTGTTCTTGCAATTTTGCACACGCTAGCCCATTTTTCTTGCTATTTTGCACACGCTAGACCCTTGTTCTTGCAATTTTGCACACGCTATGCCCTTGTTCTTGCAATTTTGCACACACTAGACCCTTCTTCTTGCAATTTTGCACACGCTAGGCCCTTGTTCTTGCAATTTCGCACACGCTAGGCCCTTGTTCTTGCTATTTTGCATTCGCTAGGCACTTGTTCTTGCTATTTTGCACACGCTAGGCCCTTGTTCTTGCAACTTTGTACACGCTAGGCCCTTGTTCTTGCAATTTTGCACACGCTAGGCACCTGTTCTTGCTATTTTGCACACGCTAGACTGTTCTTCTTGCTATTTTGCACACGCTAGACCCTTGTTCTTGCAATTTTGCACATGCTAGGCCCTTGTTCTTGCTATTTTGCACACGCTACCCTCTTTTTCTTGCTATTTTGCACACGCTAGACCCTTGTTCTTGCAATTTTGCACACGCTATGCCCTTGTTCTTGGTATTTTGCACACACTAGATACTTGTTCTTGCAATTTGGCACACGCTAGGCCCTTGTTCTTGCTATTTTGCATTCGCTAGGCCCTTGTTCTTGCAATTTTGCACACGCTAGGCCCTTGTTCTTGCAATTTTGCACACGCTAGGCCCTTGTTCTTGCAATTTTGCACACGCTAGCCCCTTTTTCTTGCAATTTTGAAAACACTAGGCCCTTGTTCTTGCAATTTTGCACACACTAGGCCCTTGTTCCTGAAAGTTTGCACACGCTAGGCCCTTGTTCTTGCAATTCTGCACACGCTAGGCCCTTGTTCTTGCTATTTTGCACACGCTAGCCCCTTTTTCTTGCTAGTTTGCACATGCTAGACCCTTGTTCTTGCAATTTTGCACACGCTATGCCCTTGTTCTTGCAATTTTGCACACAGTAGACCCTTCTTCTTGCAATTTTGCACACACTAGGCCCTTGTTCTTGCAATTTTGCACACGCTAGGCCCTTGTTCTTGCAATTTCGCACACGCTAGGCCCTTGTTCTTGCAATTTTGCACACGCTAGGCCTTTGTTCTTGCAATTTTGCACACGCTAGGCCCTTGTCCTTGCAATTTTGCACACGCTAGGCCCTTGTTCTTGCAATTTTGCACACGCTAGGCCCTTGTTCTTGCTATTTTGCACACGCTAGACCCTTATTCTTGCTATTTTGCACACGCTAGACCCTTGTTTTTGCAATTTTGCACATGCTAGGCCCTTGTTCTTGCAATTTCGCACACGCTAGGCCCTTGTTCTTGCAATTTTGCACACGCTAGACCCTTGTTCTTGCAATTTTGCACACGCTAGGCCCTTGTCCTTGCAATTTTGCACACGCTAGGCCCTTGTTCTTGCAATTTTGCACACGCTGGGCCCTTGTTCTTGCTATTTTGCACACGCTAGACCCTTATTCTTGCTATTTTGCACAGGCTAGACCCTTATTCTTGCAATTTTGCACATGCTAGGCCCTTGTTCTTGCCATTTTGCACACATAAGGCCCTTGTTCTTCCAATTTTGCACACGCTAGGCCCTTGTTCTTGCAATTTTGCACACGCTAGGCCCTTGTTCTTGCTATTTTGCACACGCTAGACCCTTATTCTTGCAATTTTGCACAAGCTAGGCCCTTGTTTTTTCAATTTTGCACACGCTAGGCCCTTGTTCTTGCTATTTTGCACACGCTAGACCCTCGTTCTTGCAATTTTGCACACGCTATGCCCTTGTTCTTGCTATTTTGCACACGCTAGACCCTTGTTCTTGCAATTTGGCACACGCTAGCCCCTTTTTCTTGCAATTTTGAACACAGTAGGCCCTTCTTCTTGCAATTTTGCACATACTAGGCCCTTGTTCCTGAAAGTTTGCACATGCTAGGCCCTTGTTCTTGCAATTTTGCACACGCTAGGCCCTTGTTCTTGCTATTTTGCACAAGCTAGTCCCTTTTTCTTGCTATTTTGCACACCCTAGACCCTTGTTCTTGCAATTTGGCACACGCTAGGCGCTTGTTCTTGCTATTTTGCACACGCTAGGCCCTTGTTCTTGCAATTTTGCACACACTAGGCCCTTGTTCCTGAAAGTTTGCACACGCTAGGCCCTTGTTCTTGCAATTCTGCACACGCTAGGCCCTTGTTCTTGCTATTTTGCACACGCTAGCCCCTTTTTCTTGCTAGTTTGCACATGCTAGACCCTTGTTCTTG